CGAATCTATTTCATAATTACTGACAGATTCAAAACATCAAATATATATAACAAGAAGTTGTTGTGCAGAATATTCATTGGTCAGTTATAAATGAGGTCTGTATAGGGTTTTGATTGCCTCCTTTTTAAATAAGAAATCGTTATTTTGAAACGAGGAACATTTATGAACCAAATCAACAATTGACTTAGGACAGGTGCAAACAGTTTATTTTTGGTAATATCTATTTAACGTGGCTCGGTTCTTATACATCCCGTCATTGTGTTATTGTACTATGGTAAAGTTTTGTATTCTTGTCTTGTGTTTTTACTTATCATATGTGATTTGTCTATCACCCTTTTTGTTTTCCTTTGCTAATATATTTGTTTGTTTTCATAGTGATTAAGATTACTGTAAACCAACTAATTTTCGCGAGCGATTTATTTTCGCGACTTTCGCGAGCAGAAAAATAACGCGAATATAAATCGTCGCAAATATGTAAAACTTGGATTCTTACTTATTTAACTACATCAAACAAATTTGAAAATCGCGAAATTAAATCGCCGCGAAATGGGCTAGTAAGGACTATACGCAAAATAAAGTATCCGCGAAAATAAGTTGTTTACAGTATAACACAATGTTGACTGCTGTACCCTTATTTTTGACATTTTTACCTATTATGTCTGTTTGTTTTGTTCACACATCGTTGTCAATATAATTGAATGTCATACAAGTAAGAGGTTGAGCTAGCTACATAAGACCATGTCTGTACCAAGTCAGGAAAATGAGCAATCCATGCGAAAAGGTACAAAAAGTTCTTTTGATAGACTTTACAGGAAACGTTGTTAAGTTCGTTAAAACGTATTTTTGAAATACGATTTTATCCGAAAAAATTTATATTAATGTAAACATTCATAAACTAGTAAATTCTGTCCCGAATTTGTCAAATAAAACGGAAAAAGACGAAGAAATACCTGCATTTTTTGTACTTGAGCAAGTGAAAAAATCATTTGTTCCCTGGAACAATGCTTTACTGACCACAAACTTAACCTTTTACGACACTATAGCGACAAAAAGTTCAACTATTTTCCTTATCTCCAACCATGTTTATAGAAAGGAAGACAACATTGAAACGTCAGGGAAATACAAAAATAATGTCATCTTGTGTTTTTGAAATTGAAATTGCACTTAAGTTAAGTTATTCAATATTATATAAATCAACCGTCCTTGCACGGGATTAGAACCCATGCCCACTGTGGTTGCATTGATATCTGTATTGTAAGCGAAAGCCTTATCCCCACTGCTGCCGGAATGAACATCATCAAATGGCAAGTTAAGACATTTAAACTATACATAAAAAATGATTTAAATATATGACATAATTCGGTAAAATCTTTACAAACCAAGGGGGAGTCAGCACTTGAAGGTGTGTATAGCTTACAGTTTTAGGGTATGAAGAAAAGTAACTGTGCTTTAATGATCACAAATCTGCTACCAATAATTATGCACACTTTTTAGAATTTCGTATGTTTTCGTTTTTGTACCTTTTCGCATGGAATGGCTCATATGACAGTTGTCCATTTATTTGATGTATTTGAGCTTTAGATTTTGCCATTTGATTAGGGACTGTCCGTATTGAATTTTCCTCGAAGTTCGGTATTTTTGTTATTTTACTTTTTAAGGATTTTAAGACATCCATAAAACGCTCTGTATAAATGTATGGTGATGACTTCAATGTTTTATTTATCTGCTACTATGTAAATGAATTCGCAAATGTGATTGACTTGTAATATAGAGCAAACAGATGTTTTAAATATACCATAATCAAGATAAGATACAAAGAGAGATAGAATAAGCATGATCGTTTTACAATATATCATGAATAAATATAGTATCCCGTTCGCACATTAAATTCATTTATTTATTTACCTGTCTGACAGTTGTTCCCAGCATACCCTGCTTCACAAGAACATTTGTAGGCGTTGGTCATATCCGTACAGTTTCCGTTGTGCATACATGGACTGCTGTTAAATTCATCGATATCTATTTAATAATGTCAACAAATATTCATGACAAACGAAAGGACGACTAAATGAAACCATCATACAATATAAAATCACAGATTGTGAGTCTTCTGTCCTTGTTTTTTGCTTTAATCTATAGATTAAATATAGTAATATTTTGGTAAAATCAGTGTTTTGTTCTTACGTTCGCCTATCTTTTACTCCTATATATGAGGAACAATCTTAAATGTGATTTTGCTACATTAAATTGTGTATTCTTCAGTGTTTTTGTTGCATTGTTTTTTTATTTAGTTATCCAATTCACCTATAGTTGTGTTATTTCTAAAGGTTTTTTTTTAAACATTTAAATCAAATTACTACAGGAAGATCAAATGACCCATTTCGCATCGACTGATTTCATTTGACTTGGTTTATATTCGTAAATTTATGATTCTTTTGAAGTGTTTAGTTGATCATTGTTACGTTGTTGTTATGACTTTTTCACCCAGAGATGTTTTACTGCCAAAGTTTTTTTCATAGTTTTGTATACGATTTATAGTTTCTTTCAAAAGGAGTGACTGTTTTTGATTATATGATCTTATGATCTATGGAATTTTATAATAATTGTTTTAATCTTTGGCATATTACTCTGACGTGTTCGTTACATGTAATTTTGTTTTTAAAATTTGGGGAAAAATCGAAGAAAAAAACGGTATTTTCTTTTGGGAGGGGGAGTTAGCTTAAAGTATCATGAGTATTTCCTACATGAATTTGTCAAACGTTAGATTATCATGATTTTAGAAGCAGTGCTTTTATTGTTTGACTTTTTTAAATTCACTGCAAAAATCAAAACAGCTCTGAGCATCTGATTGATTAGAATTTGTTTAAGAAATGTACAGTATGATACATTTTCTGTGCATTAGACAGAAGCAGTAGCAAGTTTATATCAACATATTCTAAACATTTGTTTGGCAAAACAAAATAGCGATTACTTGATGACTTGATTATGGATAGTTTTGTATGCTGATAAATATTATTTGTACAGGTAGTAAGCTACTCAGCTTACAAATACTACTTTGGAGACATCGTCGACATTTGAGTTATAAATATTCCTCCTTCCTCTAATAAAGTAGTTATTACCTGTTGCACATATCTTTCCCGTATATCCAAAGCGACAGATACAAAAGAGGGACGAAAGATACCAGAGGGACAGACAAACTCATAGATCGAAAACAAACTGACAACGCCATGGCCAAAAATAAAAAGACAAACAGACAAATAATAGTACAGATGACACAACATAGAAAACTAAAGACTAAGCATCACGAACCCCACCAAAAACTGGGGGTGATCTCAGGTGCTCCGGAAGGGTAAGCAGATCCTGTTCCACATGTGGCACCCGTCGTGTTGCTTATGTTATTACAAATCCGGTAAATAGTCTAATTCGGTAAGTCACATTCGTGAAAAGGGAAGGGTATTGTAGTTACGACATAAGGAACATATTCGATATCATCTGTGAAACGGTTATTCCATAACGGTCAACCAACTCGTGATGGCGTCCGCAAAAATTTACGCAGGGGTGATTTCAACATCCCCATTTGGAAATCTTGGCTTAATAGCTTCCTTGTGAGCAGCAATCCTCTATCAAGGAAATCATGATAGGAAACACAAGCCCGGGAATATCGTATCAATTGGGAGATATATACTCCGTATGCAGGCGCTGCTGGAATGTTGCTACATAAAAAATGGAAAGTTCACAATTGGGAAGCTGAAATCATCTCTTTTGTCGTAAAGTTTTGTTTTCAACCGACCCTCATTGTCAATTTCTAGATGTAAGTCAAGATATGAGGCAGACTTAACTGTATCTGTAGTATCCTTTATCTCTAGTTCGATGGGATAGATTCGTTCAACATAGTCACCAAATTTTGTATTATTTAGTGAGAGAACATCATCTATATAGCGGAACGTAGAGTTAAAGGATATTGCTAACTTCTTATCTGTCATACAATTGTATGAATTGTTCATATCTACACACGTTCTTCTATTTATGCATGGATTAGTTAGTGGCGCATTCGTCTATATCTATAAATAGGAATTGACGTAAAACAATATCATTTTTTGGAATTTATTTGATAACTCTATTAAAACAACGTTTGTCATTTTTAAAACAAAACTACAATTTTACCTTTGAAATAAAGTAGTATAATAAAAAAACAAAAAGCATGAATACATATCAAACCAATTTGAAATACCAAAATACCAAAACAATTTAGATTATTTGGTCAATAAAACTTAGATTTCAAGAATACCAAAACATAAATTATCTCTGGCTCAGAATAGAAAACAAGATAAATAATACTTCTATTTTTGGCCGAAAATTATTGTACAAGTTCATTTAACAAATAATTTATACATATACAAGAAATAGAGTATACAAAATTGCGGGCCCTACAAAAATAACCCGCATAAGTTAAATCTAAACTCACTAGTACAATAATTAAAAATTAGGGATGGGCGGGAGGGTAACTTATCGAAAACATATCTAATAATGAATACAAAATACCTTAAAAGTACTCACTGAATAGATACTATTGATAGTACAGAATTACGAAATGTTAAAAAAAACGAACTTCGCATATAATTATGCGTTTTTAGAATTAAAAACTGTACAATTATCTCTGGCTCAGAACAGAAAACAAGATAAATAATACTTTTATTTTTGGCCAAAAATTATTGTACAAGTTCATTTAACAAATAATTTATACATATACAAGAAATAGAGTATACAAAATTGCGGGCCCTACAAAAATAACCCGCCAAACAAGCCCGCAGAAAACAAAACAAAACAGATAAAGCAATATTATAGAATAGTTATCAATCAGACCCACAAACTGATATACTTTTGTGTAAGCCAGAAGAGACTCAAGAAATCAATACGATACTTTCTTGTAAATCTCCTACTGAAGATCAAAAGAATATGCTACTTCTTTGTAAATCTTCTTACTCAATGAATAAAGAACTTCATTGTAAGCCACCACCTACTGAATGGTTATCTAAAAATATAAAAAAAGAAAAAGTTAACAAACTACAACTATATAATTAAACATATGCAATTTACAAATGCGAAATAACATGAATAAAACACATTTTAAGCTGGAAAACTCCAGCTTCATTTAAATGCAAACCTCCATCTTTAATAGCAAATAAATCTCATTTTGGAGAACCTTTTAATAAAAATCTTCTATAAGACTTAATGAAACTTAGTTTTTCATCTTTACATTATTAATTAAGGCTTTATTAATCTCAACAACCTTACTTCCTAAGATAGAAGATATCAATATATTTATGTCTCTATTTCTTTTTCTTATACTATACTCTTTGACTGTCCCTCTGGTATCTTTCGTCCCTCTTTTTTGAATTTCTAAATTTACATAAAATAATCTCTAGAGTATGATTCTCTACATCATTGGTACCAAAATGTAAAATAACATGAGAAAAGCTATCAAAATCATGTAGATACAAATACTCCTTATCAATAATATATTTAATGTAACCTAAATTAGCTCCACTAAAACTCTGTACTACAGTGTCTTTTATCCCATCCAAATATTTCCCGATAGAATCACACAAGATCAACACCTTCTTCATTACTGCAATTAAGGGATAAATATAGTCATAGCCTTAGCAACGGAGACTTTCTCTGATAAAGAAAATTGAAGATACAATTTATAAGCATCACTTGCCTAATCGCCATGAACTTGTATTAACTCCGCAGGTACCTTAAATTCAAAGGCAAACGTAGCACCCCCTCGACGGAAGCTGTGTGTAGAAAATAGTCGTGGATTCCTACCTATCTTAATAATAAACTCCTTAATATACTGCTGAAAATCTATATAAGTCACAGGAACTAACTTGTGTTTACTAGGAAATAGAAAAGCTGGGCTATCTCCGTCGGCAGGAATTAGTTTACACATATTCCTATACGCTCTCAGTGGACATAATGCAGATCTAGTATTTTCAACTAATGGTATCTTCAAAATTCTATTACCCATCTGCAATAGCAATATTACCCTCTAAGATTACTTTATTTCTAGTCAACTGTTTATCTTTGTCAAATGACATTTTAGAATCGGGTACTAAATTTGATTTACGCGCCATTAAAAAAAAAGCAAATAAAAACAAACACCATATAGTGCACTGCTTAGGATCGTCGTGATTTATAACTCTATTAATATCTAGTAAAATATCTACAGTAATAGCTAATGCTTGTTGTGGTAAATGCTGTTTCTCTCTAGTAATCCCTTTCAATAATAATTTGACAGAAAACTTATGGAAAATATATCTAATAATGAATACAAAATACCTTAAAAGTACTCACTGAATAGATACTATTGATAGTACAGAATTACGAAATGTTAAAAGAAACGAACTTCGCATATAATTATGCGTTTTTAGAATTAAAAACTGTACAATTGAAATTGTCCATATACAACTGAAATAAATAATTACCATGTGTTTTAACAAAAAAAAGGGATAATGTTGGTATTGGATCAGTAGATTCAAAACGATAATCAAGGTGAGACAGACGTGTCTTGTAGATATTTTGTTCGAATCTGTTATTTAATTCAAATTGTCTACTTTATCTCACATGTTGTTTTTTTTTCGTTTTAACTTATTGAATCTATTAAAAATAATCTAGCATTGTATGATGATACGTTCTTTCTAATTAAATTACTAAAATCTAGTCAAATTTATTAAGAAATGTAAAAAGGTATTCATGGTTCACAGATACAGTTCAAGTCGCACGAATTTGCTTTGAGAAACTGTAATCATTGTGTTCCTCAATTGTAAAGTGTCATATAACTATTATGTTTCCTTGACCTGATACAAACATCCTTATAGAAATTAAAAAAGTATACATTTAAATCTACGTGTCAAGTAAAAAATGAGGACAATTCTATCCAACTTAACAATATGCAAAACAAATTTATATTACAACATGTCAATTGCAGAATGATAACAGACACCTCCAAATTTTACCTTTAAAAGACCAAGGTTAAACACGTGGTACATCTGTGTTCATATGTCGTAAGGCGTTTTGTGTCAGCAATATGTATGCTTAATGTCAAAGCATATATATATTAATGTCACACCATCTGATCCTACTTGTACCTTTTTTATATTTAAAATGGTACTTCATATTCGCCCATTCATCACATTAATTTGTACAGAAATCATCCTTATTTAAGTTTCGGTTGATAGAAGCATAAATGCTAAAATATAACCTGAGGCACAGTAAGCTAGATTGACCACAAACATATATCAATCCAAGATCCGCGCCATGTTAATAGTCAATTACTTCAAATCAGATGATACAATGACTGTATTAGTTGAAAATATGTGTTAAGTTCTCTAAATGATTTAAAATTTGATGGATATGTCGATCGTATGTGCACCTTAAAGCAACTGCTCAAACATAATAAATAGCAAACATCAAATAACGTAGTGTTAATTTCACTCAATCTCGACAATAAAGTCTTAGTGTAAACATTAATGTATATGTATAATGATATTTGAAAATCGGTTTACTTCTGTAAACCATATACTAAGTAGGTTGATATTAATGATCATGAGAAAAAAAAGTTGACGGATGTATTTATTTCAACTATCAGTATCTATTTTGAATATTTTCACAGATACATGGTCAGACAAGTATTCGTCTGTATCAGACTTCTCATTACCGCTGAAATAAAAACAGTTGGTAGATCAAGTATTTTACAAAGTTGAAAAGAATCAAACACCAAACATTATGAAAAGTGTACCAAACTTGTCTCAGGTCATCTAGACTCCGAGTTCAAACAATTAGCATATTTCGTTAAAAATAAATTATCAAAAAGTGTCATATCAGTGAGATTCCATATACACACTGGGCTACTGTTACTCTGGGGGCAAACCAGAGGGTTATCATTCTACACTCCAGACGCATGATTTGCCAATATAAATTTTATTAGCGGCTCTCGTTTTAAGATTAAGAAGGCAAATCAATTACAAAGTTGAAGAAAAAAACTTGTGCTATCAATGGGGAGGAAAAGCGAAAGATACCAAGGTGATAATCAAACGCATTGGTCGAAAATAAAGTAAAAATGCCATAGCAAAAATATGAAATATGATCAAAAGAAACACCGTTTAAATACAGTACATAAATATGCATAATACTTGGCAACATGACCCAAATCAAAAACTGTGGACGCTGTCAGGTGCTCTTGAAGGGACGCTGCTTTTGTGTTGCTCATGTAAGTACAAACCCTAGAATACGTCTTACTCGATAGTTCAAAGATATTCCATTACGGTTAACTAGCTCGTGATGGCGTTTTCTTTGTTTATTTGTAGCTTTCTTGTCAGTTGCAACCTTTTATTAAGAAATGAAGATTGTAAATGAAAGCTCTGGAATATTGTTTCAACTCGGAAATATATACTCCATATGCATGCGCCACTGGAATGTAGCTGAATGTGACTCTCGTGACTGCTATAAATCCGTTTTTTTATGATTTATTAAGAATATCCTATTCGCTCTGAATTTGACGTACAACGTATTGTTTGAGATTTTTTTTAATATACGTAACTCGACGGGTTAAATTTATGGATCAGGAATTATCTACCAAAAAAATTAGTTTGTCCACTCAAAGATTATGTACACATAAATTAGAATATTATAACCGTTATTTTGGTTATTATTATTCTGATCGTTTTAATGATTTCTATCAATATTATCATGATAATTATTATGTTATTATTACTATTATCATGATTAATCATTACCTTAATTCTCATTATATTACATATTTACCATATCATTTTTTTAAATTTCTTAATCATTACATTGTAAAAATTAAAAATTTCAGTACACTTACAGTATGCCACACGTTGTCCAGCAATATAACCATAACCATTTGCTTTAGCTGTCCCCGTCGACGCTAGGAAAAATGTAACTGTCGGGTTACTATGAAATATGGTATGTGATCCTTCTATCACATTGATGTCAGCGATTTATAGGTCTTTGCTTCCTAGTACTTGTCGCCAATGATAAGACGAAACACATAAGCCATCAAGTAATAGTCAGTTTATTTCAGAAGATCGAATTATAACTGTAAGTGCATTTTGAAATGGATTACCGGGATTATTAATTGTTGAAAACGTATAGTCTGCAGCAAACTGTTCTAAAGGTGGTAGTGATATCATGGCCGGGTCTCCATTATCGGAACCAAAGCCACCTTCTGCAAAGAATACTACCGCAACTGGTTTGTCTGCAACAATAGTCCGTGATGATTTAACAACGATTTGAAAACTATATAAATCACCAGCTATTAACAAATGAACAGTACCTTTTCCATATATATTTATATTCGTATTGTTCGCACTAGCGACAATTTTAAAATTAACTGGCACATCGCAGTTTTGCATGTTTATAGTAACAAACCTTTTACCAAATGTATCAATTTGTGTCATTTGGGATGACAGATGATCAGCGAATCCAGCGCCTATGCGACTGTATTGATTACCTCTTATTACTGATACCACCTTTGAAGACCAAATGAAAGGTTCCTGAATAGTCTGAACTCGAACTTCCAACAGCTTGGAACGTTTGAGACTTATTCATGTAAACGATAAATGTCATTTCAGCTTTGTAGCTAATACTGTTGTAAGAAATTGGCGAGCCTCCTTTTGCAATTGTTATTTCTACACTGGTAGTGTCTTCTGTTGCAATAATTAGAAATGTAGGAAGCTCACTCTATGTTATTGCGTAATATGCGTATCCGAGCAAATCAACTGGAAATACAACAAATGCGTCAGATGTAGTCGTATGTTTATTAACAGCATATACGGTAATCTCTTCGCTTGATTGAATTTCTATCCCCTTGTTGCTCAGTTTACTTCAAATATCACGAACATCATATGCAAAAGCGACATTCTTTACTTGTTTATGCCTCACGTATAAAGTTTTAGAAACTGGCGGATACAACAATGGAGTTGTTACGTTAACTTTAACTGTGCAAAAGCAATCAGTGGTGATAAAAACTTCTAACAACTGGCCATAAAACCGAAAATAAAATGTCTGCCTTTATTGTCTTTTCCTGTAAAGTCGCAGTTATATGCATTTTTAATATTACTGAAATACATGTAACATTGCGAGATGTGTAAAATGTTTTATGGACATTTTTATTCTTAATTATAAAGTTGTAACATAAAATTATACTGGGATTTTATGGCAATCAAATCTTTCACTATCACTCTGTGTCATCGCCACCGGAAATTGGGTACCAACGAAACGGAGAGAAAGGGGAAAAAAGTAAACAAGGTAAAAATTCCTTTAATTTTAACCATTTCTACCGGTTTGACGAGTTTACCGCTTATGACACGATTTTCAGGTATATAGTGCTTTAATTTTTATTCCAACAATGAACAAGTAGCAAACAATGACAACTTTTTTTGTTATACTCCAAAACGGCGCACTTGGTATCAGAACACTTCGAGGTCGATCTTAAACCGACGTCCCGCTGTCCAGATATTCAATTCTTCCATCTCTTTCCTAACAACTTTTTTATTATCATAGGGTGAGTTCATATTTACTGTAACTTGATATCAAAAAGATTTTTTCTAAAGAATATCGACCTAAACATCTATTGTTTACTAGCAAACTGCACGGCGTTGTGAGGCGAATTGCAAAACAACAACTTGTTTTCCGTATGGCGTCTTGTAATGTAAAGCTGATAATAACTAGATGACTACATAGATGATAACAATATGATAAACATACTAATTCGTTACCTGCTTACAAATATCAGAAATAAACTATCCACATTCTTTTTGCAAAGAATTCCGCTCAAGCCGGTGCTAGGGGCCGTCTTAAACTTGCAGTGAAGTGAGAGATTTTACTTTGCTCTGTGTAGAACATGTTGAAGGCCTCAATGTGACTGAATTAAACTTATTCAGGGTTTGTACTAACATTATCAACATGACAGGCACCACATGAGATGCAGAATCTGCTAACCCTTCCGGAGCACATGAGTTCACCCCTAGTTTTTGATGGGGTTGGTGTTGCTCAGCTTTTAGTTATCTATGTTGTGTTTTGTGTACTATTGTTTGTCTGTTGGTCTTTTTCTTTTTTAGCCATGGCGTTTTCAGTTTATTTTCGACTTATGAGTTTGAATGTTCCTCTGGTATCTTCCATTTTTTTTTAGATGAATAAATGTACTGTTCCTTTGCTTTTTGTGTGTTTTTGCTGTGCAAGTACTGATTTTGTACCATGGACGGATACTCTATATCCTTAGTTTTTCTATTACATAGTAAAAAATATTATAAAATATATGCCAATAATTTCATTCGGATTTCATCATTGCGTACCGGCCTTATTGGACGTTGTGTTTTGAGAGACAAAAATTGTTTCTTCGACCAAATTAATCAAAATATATTCTTAATGCGTTAAACAGCTGTTGTTTTAATTGTTGTAAAGGTAAATTTTCAGCAATTTCAATAAAACACTAACCATTCATCTTTTGTTGGGGTGTTTTTTCTTTGAATAATAATCTTTATTTACCAAAGTCATATCAACTATAGACATACAACATATAAACTACACATAGTATACATAGATAGCAGAAGGAAGTGTAAAACACATTAAAACATGTTAGATCTTAATTTTATGGCACAAAATATAAATTTACCCAAATTACATAGGTCTTTAAGATTATTAGAACTCATTAATTGTATATATTTATACATAGAAGGTTTTCTCCAATAATAAGATTTAATAAAATAAGATCTAAGACCTCGATAAGTGGGACATTTTAAAATGAAATGAATTTTATCCTCAATGTCATTTTTACAAAAACTTCAGAGTCTATTACTTCTTGGAATTGCAGAATAACGTCCACATTATATAGCTAAATCATGACTACTAAGTCTTATTTTGGTAATACATGTCTTATAAATAACTGGTATTGGTTTACATAAGTAATATTGTAAACAAAACTTTTGAACCATATATCTATAACTTGAACATTTAACTAAACATCAACAGTTATAGCAACACGTGGTTTCATTTTTCAAACACGCATTCTGTTTTGAAACTTACGGGATTTCAATTTGATTTTTTGTGTGTGGGAGAAGAATTATGAAAATGAATATCTTGACCTGGTAAGAACTAAAAATAAATAAGTTTGCATAAGACAGGATGAAAATGAATTGAATCTTCAGCCCAAAAAACCGGAAAAAAATGTTCAAAAAAGTGAGGAAAAAAAAATTCAAGCCGAAAAAAAGCAAATAAATGATCAATCCGAATACCCCCCTCTCTGGAATATCATATGGTCTGGTCGTCCCCTTATAAAGGTATGGAACTTGACATATATATTAGATTTTATAGAAATGTAAATCAATAGTGTCTAAAAATCAACATTTAACCCTGAATTTTAAATATATGAAATCAATCGAATCTTATCTGAAATGCTAAATCATATTTTTTTTTATATTTTATAAGGAGAAAAAGATACAAATAAAGCACTTAATCACCCCTAAATGTGTACCAGATTTACTATTTTCATGATAAGAATTTACAGATTTCAGCATTTTATTAAAACCGTCTCAAAAAGCAGATATCTAGATTACGCTTTTATCAAATCAATCTTTAACATTTCGTGGTTTTTTTTTCAAAAGAATTTATGTGAATACACAGACAGGCTCTTAACTAATTTTTCCTATGCCCTTAGTAGATGACAACTGCTATTATACCATACGAGTAGTCTGTCAAAGACACTGCAAAAGTGTTAAAGAAAGTTAAAACATGTATCCACTGTTGTGTGTATCTTATTCAAATTGTTCAAGCTTAACTTATACTTTTTTCATAATCTAAATTTACGACTGGAAGAGAAGATAACATGATTTTCATTTATTCACTGTAAATTGGCTACATTACAACCGCATCTGATATCTGATGTAAAACCGGATATATATGAATTATAATGTAAACTATAAAAATAATATAATTCAAATTGTTTTATATAATATGCTAGAGATATAATAAGACTATGTACATTGTAGGCTACTAGTGTGTATAAATGTACAATGCCGTCAAGTTTATAAATTATATTTTTATCAAATATATTATTAGGTATTAAAACTTATAGCACTATTTCTTGAAAAGGACGGCATGCAAATATTAAAAAAATAGCATGTTGCCGTACTGTATATCTGTAAACAAGAGCAAGTTGTCGTACTGTAAATCTGTAAACAAGAGCAGTTGCCGTACCCTAGGTTTAATTGGCTTTTACATGCATTCTTTGGAAAACGTCTTTTTGATAGCAAATTTCAGTAAATATGAAGTTACACTATCATAATCTAAAACTTTGTCAAGACGTCGGAGGGGCGATCAACTTCGAAATTTTCTGGTACTAAGTGCACCGTCTTGGAGTATAACAAACAGTCTTGTCATTGTTTGCTACTTGTTAGCATAAGACAATAAAGCCTCATATAACAGAAAATTGAATTATGAGCGGTATCCGATAGAAATGGTTTAAATTAAAGGAATTCCTATCTTGTTTATTTTTTCTCCTTTCTGTTAGCTTCATTTGTACCCAATGTCCGGTGGCGTTGATACACAGTGACTATGTTGTCAATATCATACTGATATCGTGAATATTTGATCACTTTCAATCGTTTTTGTTACAAATATAAAATTATGAAATGATTCAAATGAACATTAAAGCTTTGACCACTTTTGTTTTATATCAAAACGTATGTGAATTTGTTTTACCTTCAATACATAAAGTAAGTTGCCATATGTACCTCGTGATTGCATAGAAGACCCAATGTCGAAGAAACATATCTTGAACTTTAGCTGTGATTAGCTGAATTTTTTACTATGACAAAGTTTAGAAGACGACATTTCTTATATATACAACTTTTATACGTCATGAAAAAAATGTCCATTTCAAAGAAAACTTAATAGCAAAAATGAATAAGGAAGCTAACGTTTAATCGAAGCAATATCTTTCTGATCGATATTGATTTTTATGGCAATGATGTAACCATTACCAAATCACCTTAATAACAAAAATAGGTTGAAACTTTTAATGTCCCGTATATTAGTAATCAATTTGGTAAATGCGTAAACATTAACGTTTGAAATTTCCATCTACAGTAAATTTAGTGTTCTTATTTTGTGCATGCGAGAATCGAGAATTGTTTACAGAAGTGCAATTATATGAATGAGATTCATGTCCTTATATGATCTCACGTGCTTGATAAATGCACAATTATGACGAAATTTCATATAATATTGTTAGTATTGTTAGTATTCCACGTTACTTCTTCAGCCAACTATTGTAATAAAAAAGTCTTGAAATTTAAAAACAGATGCGTATGTAGGAGTTTTTTTAACAACAATTGACAATGAAGCTTTACATGATATTCTTTACTATTTTATAACAAAGAAAGCAAAGTTATTTAGCACACTTCGATTTAATCTTTAATTCATTTTTGATTACGTAATACGAAACTAATAAATGTACATTGCTTTCTATATTAGTTGTCCTTGACAAAAAAATAATTTCATTTCTCATTTCTGATTTGACTTATTTGAAGATTGACCATAACAAGGAAGTGTTTCTATATGCTTTTTTATTCGTCAGATGACATATCCTTTGCATGCATTAATCTGGAACTTTTTGCTTGATTTCAATGTAAACGTGCCTGATTTCATGTTTTCTGGTTCTTTTTACCGATTTTCGTATGTGGTACTGCTGACCGTGCGAGGGTTTCATAGCTAGTGAAGATCGTTAAATATTCCAATAGTAGTAATTGTTTGATTTTACACTCACAATCTAGAATAAGGAGATGTGGAATAATTGACTTAAATTCGAAACCGAAGAAGTTGTAAAGTTACAAATATGGGACGAAGGATCAGCTTACCCTCCCGGGGTACATTAAATCATTACTGTGTATGTCATTCTTCTATTAATGTCAAGGTATAATCATTATTTTTTCTCGACTTATGATTTTGAATTGTCTCATTAAGACTTTTGCATTTTAATTTTTTGTTTCTACGTTTAATATTTGGCTATTTGTTTATCTTCTTTTTGGTATTATAGCTCTTCAACTACATCGATTCTCATACATCCTTGGCTTTCAATATTCGGGTTTGAGCGTTCCTGGTGAAGGAAAATCATAGAAAAGCGCTTCGGTCGCATGAGAAATATAACATGTTTTTCCATTTTTAAAACATAGTTGTCAAATGAAGTTTTTGATATGCGTAAATAAACTGAAATTAAACACAACAAAACAAGTTCATGGTTGTAACCAGGATTTGTTTTCTCTCAATCGATTTATTACTTTTGAACAGCGGTATACTACTGTTGCCTTTATTCATCGCATCAGGGAACAAAGTTCTTTTTCATTTAAATTGTTGATTTAAATAGTTGACTTGTTTGACAGTCAAAACACAATATTATTTCATATTAAACCTATAACTTTCACAATTGTCCCAAAAAATCACTTTCAAAAGTGTTTGATCTTGACGACTTTGACATTAGTTTTATTGAACTAATAAGGATTAATTAATCTATAATTACTTATACATTGACTTCAATTTTGATGAAATTTACTTATTTGATTTTTATTTCAGAAGAACTACCGTTTCAAAAAAGGTGTTTAATGCACCCCTCTTAACGAACTTTAGAAGGAGAGGAACCATAAAGATGCAAATGTATCTAAGTTCTAGTTTAACTTCAACTGTGTTTTTTGGGTTTCATAGAATCATATTTTTGTGTCTTTCATTAAAATCAATACTATTTTAAATGTACTATAAAATTGAGAATGGAAACGGGGAATATGTCAAAGAGACAACTACCCGACCAAAGAGCAGAAAACAGCCTATGGCCAACAATGGGTCTTCAACGCAGCGAAAAAATCCCACACCCGGAGGTGGGCATCAGCTGGCCCCGAAATAAAAATGTGTACTAGTTCAGTGAAAATGGACGCCATACTAAACTCCAAAACATATAAATGAACTAAAAGTAAAAAAAAAACATACAAGACTAGCATAGGCCAGAGGCTCCTGATTTGGGACAGGCACAACAATGCGGCTGGGTTAAACGTGTTTTGTGAGATCTCAACCCTTCCCCTATACCTCTAGCCAATGTAGAATAAATAAACACACAGCAATACACACAGTAAAACTCAGTTTTAAAGAAGTCCGAGTCCAATGTCAGAATAAGTAACAAAAGAAACTAAGCAAAATGACAAAGATACATAAATTAAGAAAGGACTACTAGCAGTTATTGACATGCCAGCTCCAGACCTCAAATAAACTTATTGATAATTGTGTCTTCATCATATGAAAATCAAGCACAATCCCTCCCGTTAGGGGTTTAGAATAATACCACCATAAAATATATGAGAAGAACATAACCCGTATCATGCCAACAACTTGTTCTAAAATAAATGGGTTTATTTGTGATGCAAAGACCCTGGTGTGAATCAATATTAATACCAAAATATGCAATCCTTAATGACCTGACAACAGGAAATACAGGAACGTATAAGATGTCTGCA